CACACAGAAAACATGCATGTTCCTATACATCAGCAGTAAACAATCTGAAAAGGAAATGAAGCCAGTTCCATTTGCAACAGTATCAAAAAGAATAAAACACTTAGGAATCAATTTAACCAAAGTTAAAAACTTGTCCACTGAACACTACAGCACTGCTGAAAAAAATGAAAGAAGACCTTAATGAAAGGGGAGATGGCAATGCTAACCAGAGTAATATACAGATCCCAAGCAGTCCTGATCCTGAACATAAAAAGAACTCTGTAACTCAACAACAAAAAAACTACCCAACTTCAAAATGGGCAAAGGATCTGAATAGACAATTCTCAAAAGAATATACACAAATGGTCAATAAACTCATAAAAAGATATTGAACTTAATTAGCCATTATTATTTTTGTTGTTAATGCTGGCAAGTCAGTTCTGACTCATAGCCATCCTGTATAGCATTTCTGAGGAGTGGCTGGTGGGTTTGAACTGTTGACCTTGTGGCTAGCAATCCTGTGCTAATGCTACAGCGTCACACCACAGTGTTTACTAAGTAGTTCAAATCTGCTAAGATGACTGTAATTCAGAAGTAAAACAACACGCTAATGGAAAATAGCGTGATGGTAAGGATGTGGCGGAACTGGAATTCTCCTTTATTGCTGGTGGGAGTGTAAGATGGCGTAGACATTGTGGAAACAATTCTAAGTTCCTCAAAAACTTCAACAGAAACTAGCCTTATGACTCAGCAGTTCCACTCCTAGCTGGAACCGACCAGAGAATTTCACTGGAGAGTGACGCAGGACAGAGAGACTTGAACACCACTGGTCACTGCAGTGCCATTCACAAGTCAAAGATGGACATAACACAAGTGACCGTCAACAGATGAATGAATGAACAAAATGTGGTACACCTATACAATGAAATACTGTTGCTGATCCAACTCCTAGCCTCCCTGAATGGGGTTTTCGAAGAGAAGCTGATGGGTTTGAACCACTGACCTTTCGCTTAGCAGTCCAGTGATTACCATACAGTACCATACCAGGACTCCAAATGAAATGTGTGTGCTATCAAGTTGGGTCCAACTCAGAGCGACCCTGTATAGGGTTTCTAAGTCTTTCAGTCTTTGTGGGAGCAGAAAGTCTCATCTTTCTCCTGCAGAGCAACTGGTGGTTTCGAACCACCGTCAGTCAAAATCAGCTCAACGACAAGTGGGTTATTGGGTATAGAATTTCGGTATGAGATGATTTTAAAAACCTAGAAACAGACAGTAAAAATGGTCACACAGCATCATGAATGTACTGCACTGCACACTCAAAAATGGTTAGAGTGATCAATTTCATCTTACGTATGATTTATCATAAAAAAAAAAACTAAAAATATACAACTAACCCAATTAAAGTACTTCTTTAGTAACTGCTTACTAAGTAAAGATCATACTGGAACACTAACTAAATGATCCAAAATATAAATGGACATTTATTAAATCTACATTACGCCCATTTTCATGTTTGATCGAGAGTTAAGTTAATAAACTAACATTGTATTTTTTTAAGATTAATGATTTCAAACGGTTACAGGGGCCTGGTACTTTACTAAGAGTTCTACGTGTATCTTCTCATTGCATCCCCACCTAGGAGGTAGGCGCTGTATTATCATTCCCATTCTACAGAGGAAGAAGCTAGACTCTTACTCCGATCATCGCTCTCCTCTGACTCAAGCCCTTCATGGCTTCCTCAGGATAAAGCTTAGAGCCCCTTGCACCTACTAGGTCCACCATCCCTCCCATTTTCCCCACCACCCTTAGCCACACTGACGACCTTTCAAACCCACCATGCAGTGTCCTGCACCCAAGTCTTTGCATAGACTGTTCTCTTTATGGAGACCCCTTTCATCTTCTCTAGCCCACTTCCCTTCCACTTTGAGATCACTTCCCTGGGAAGCCTTGATCCCTTTCTCTGGGGCCCCATGCCCATGCGTACTGCGCCCCCTGCCCCGTGTGGTGACCACCTTCTGTCTAGCTGTCTTTGGCTGGCCTGCCTGCACCATTCACAAGAGCCGACAATGGTCACTGTGGGTCCTCACACAACACAAGGCCCAGTATATAACAGGGACTTAGCAAATCTTTCCTGAACCTGCTGTCTGTTTCCATCTGGGGCTCAGAGGTAGGAGATGCTGGAGTCTTGGCTGCTCCGGAACAAGACAAATCAGGTCACTGCCTACTGCCCAGGACCAAGCCCAACCTGGGCTTGGGATGTCCCCTTGCACAACTATAGCAGCTAATAGCTGCCCGGTTCTCCCTGTGTGCTTTACAGGAATGAATTCCCTTAGCCTTTAAAACAAGCCTGCGAGGTAAGCATTGAATAGGATTTGAACCCAGGCAGCTGGTGTGAAGTACAAGTTCCTAACCTGTAACTGGGGAGTTGGCAATAACCTAGAACAAGAATTACCATCACCCTACCTCACAGCTGGGCTGGAGGTCCAGACTCGGGGGCTTTAGGCACATCTGGGAGATGCAGCATTGGATTGTGCTGACAGCTGAGCTTGGTGAAGGGCACAGGGCTGTGGAGGACACAGGGATGGTGGCTGATGAAGGCCCTGCGGTAGGGAGGATGCCTTGGGTCTCTCTGTCCCTGGACTGTGTCCCTGGAGAGGTCCTACCTCCCCCCACCCCCACCCCCAGAAGGGTGAGTCACTGCACTGGGCCCTGCTGGGGACATAGGACCGTGGGAACCAGGATGATTCTTGCCAGAGAGGGAGGACGAGACTGCGGGGGATCTGAGGAATCTCATGGATCAACTCACACCAAGGGGCTGGAACCCGCCCAAAAATGCCTGGAGGGTGGCCTACCCTCTGCAAAGCAGTGCCTCCTGAGCTGGGGCTGACTCCCTACCTACCTCCTCCAGCCCTAAAACTCCAGCCCCAAAGCTTCTCTGCTCAAAAACACTTTTACAAGGGTGGAGAGGAGAGAGATCTGGGGGCAGGAAGAGTGGATGTCCAATACCAGCCACCAGGTACATGAAGAGCACAAAGCATGTTTGGCCAAATCTGACCCAGGACTGCCTACCAGAGACAGTCTGCCTAGCTCACCCACTATGACCTTTATTTTCAGGACAGTTGGCTGGGGAGTAGGCAGTGTGGGAGCCCAGGAACGGGAGAAAGAATCTGAGTTTTCTCAAAGCCCCAGTGTTAGAGACACCCACAAGGGAATAATTCATCTCATAAGAGTCTTGACAGAACCTGAAGAACAGAAAGACAGCATGGGGCAGGGTCATAGGAGGCTTGACACCAAGGAGGGTCCCCACCAGGAAAAGAGGTGGTTGGTCTGCTCTTGTGTACCGTGGAGTCGCTTCCAACTCCTAGCGACACTGTACAGGGTTTCCAAGGCTATAAATCGTTACGGGAGCAGAAAGCCTCATCTTTCTCCTGCAGCATGACTGGTAGATTCAAACTGTTGACCTTGCGGTTAGCAGTCCAGCTTGTAACCCACTATGTTACCAGAACTCCAGAAGAAGGGCAAGCTCCACATTTTGCAAAGGAGAAACCAAGACTTCCTCAGGGAGTGGTTAAGTTGGGACTGAAGTATGTTCCCCAGCTCAAACATGGATGAAGAGTGTGGAAAAGGCACTGAACAGGATGTCAGGGGTTATTACATAGCCTCTTCTTCTAAGGTGGAAAATGGGGGTCCCCAGGCACCGTAGGATAAGCACTGAACTGTTAACTGCAAGGAGTTCAAACTACCAGTGGCTCCTCAGAAACCCTATATAGGATCACTGTGAGTGGTAACTGACTGGACGCATATATATATAGAGCCATCTGGAGAAGAAGTCCCTTCCCTATGGGGCATCCTTGAAGGTAACAATTAGGCTCAGCTGTCTAGTGACAAAAACACAAAGTTCCTTTCTATGCCCCTGGGTCATGTCTCCTCAAGGTCACAGAAGCTCTTACATAAAACCAAGATCTCCCCAAACTGTCCCAAGGCCCCTCTTGTCTCTCCACATTACTGTACTGGAGACACCCTTGTTCGCCTCCTTCCACTCTCCTGGGACCACCACCTACCCACCTCAGTCACCTGGGACTATCCCAACAAACACACTCTGAACTCCATATCTGTGACCAGGCAGCCTAGGTTCAAATCTTTCCTCTGGTGGTTCCCAGCTGCTAGATGCCAAGCCAGTGATTTAATCTCTGTTAAATCTCGGACTCATTTTCTTCATCTGTAAAATGGGGATGATACTAGCACCTACCTCATTTTGGAGTGTTGTGAGAATTCAAAGTTAATTACACTGCACAAGTTATTGTTTACCGTTATGTTTCCCCATGGATGATAATTAAGTGCACATTTAATGTTGCTGACTGAATGAATAAAAGTTAGCCTCAGGCACATATCTACTTGGCAACCATGTGGACAGTTCGAAATACCTGCATCCGCTGTACACTCAGGCCTACCCTGCTGCCAGTATTCCCACTTCACACATCAAAGGCCCAGCCCACTGACACACGTCTAGAGCACACACACCTGTGCTCTCACCTTGCCCCACCCCCCAACACACACACACACCTCTGCAGGGCCTTGGTGCACAGCTGTGTGCCTCCTCACATATCTGCCAGGCCTGTGTTCATATAGGCGGCACAATCCTTTGCCCAGGCACTCAGCATGCACCTGCGACCCCGGTGCACACACCCAGGCTGTTTGTGCACCTTTGACCCTCTTGGTCATTCACCTGAGTACCAATGCACACATCTAGAGAGCCCTCTCGGGTAACCTAGGAGCGCAAATCTGTAACCTCACAAAAGAGTCCTTGCAACTTCACACCTGAGCCTTAAAAGCACCACTGCCCCCCCACCCCCACTCCCGACCCCCGCTCAGCGGACACATGTGGTCTCCTTCAGCGCACACCTGGGTCCCTGCTTACGCATCTGGGTGCCGGCACACTCACACCTACGGCCAGCTCAGTGCATACTTCCCCTCCTGCCCACTTGGCCAGTCTCTCCGCGCTCCTACCGCCCGGGGCGTACCTGGATGTTTCGCTTGCGCTCGCAAGCCGGCCCGGTGCCCTGCACCACACTGTCTAGCACCGCCACCACGTCCGGCGCCGGCTGCACGAAGCAGGCTGTGCGTGCGGTGCGGATGGCGGCTTGCACATCAGCAAAGCTGAAGGCGCAGAGCGCGGCTGGAGCCGCCCGGGCCGTGGGACCCCCTGGGGGCCGCTCGAAAACTGCGAAGAGCCGCTCGCGTGCCGGGAAGACTGAGACCAGGCGGCTGTAGAGGTCGCCTCGACCCGCGCCGCCCGCGCACTGCAAGCCAAGCTGGATGTAGGACTCAGTGAGCTTCTTGGCGTCGCCGCTGGCGCCGCGGGGCAGACAGATGCGCGCCAGGAGGCTCCGCGCCTGGCTCTCCTTGTCGCCCGCGCGCGCCTCGCTGTTGAGCGCCAGGTACGCGTAGGATGGTGCGCGGGACAGCGAGTCCGGCGGGTGCAGAAATGCGCGCACGAAGCCCAGCTTGTGCTGCTCCTTGGCGCCCTGCTTGATCTTGAGAATGTTGTCGTCGGAGGGGTTGAGGTCGAAAGTGAAGAGCTTGGCCAGGTCGCCGCGCGCGTCTAGAGAACGGATGGCGATCTCGGGCGTGTTCTCGAAGCGGTGGTCCTCCAGGCTGCGGTTGCGCGGGAAGAAGGCGCTGCCGTAACCCGTGTACGTGGCGCCCACGAGCAGGCGGCTGCCCCCCGTGCCTGAGGCCGGCGGCAGGACTAGCCCTACGGTGGATGCATTTGGGTGGTTGGCCGCCACATTCAGCATACTGGGGAACACGGTGACAGGCTCGGCGGGCGGCCCGGCGGGCGGGAAGTGCACAGCCACGGCGGAGATGTTGCCCCGGCGCCGCAGCTGGCAGAAGCCCTGGTAAATGGAGCCACACACGACCACCAGGCCTTGGCCGGTGTCCAGTTGCAGGATCTTGTTGTAGTTGTCGGTGAGGCGCCGTGGGTGCTCGCACGAGGCCTGCGGCAGCTGCGGGGCGTGGCACAACGGGCTGTCGGCTACTGGGCCCACGGCCGCCTCGGCCTCCAAGCTCAGGTTGGCACCCGACAGCTGGTAGAGACGGTTGACGGCCGCCAGGTACACCGTCCCCGCCGCGCCGTCCAGGACGAAGTTGTTGGTGGGCGTGGGCGAGGGGAAGCGGCGCTGGATCTCCAGGGCGCCGGCCCGCGCCACCCCCAGGAGCAGCAGCAGGAACAGTGGGCGCAACAGTGGGACCTGCGGCCGTGGCGGGGGCCGGAATGGCGAGCGCGCCGGCAGGGGGCTGGCTGCAGCGGCCGGGGCGCTAAGGGTTGCGCCGCCCGCGGCGCGACGAGCC